GCCTTGTATGCACATATGAATAATAAAAGAAAAATGAAAAAAAATACATTTAAAAAATAAAACAAAATAAAATAAAAATTGGAAAAAAAAAAAAAGAAACAAATTACAAAGCAAAAGCTCAGTCACTGGTTTGCCTGACTAGAAAGACTTCAGGTCCCAAAACAGGTTTGAAATACTTGGAGAACGAAACAAAAGCATGTGACCTTTCACAGGCAAGTTAAGAAACGCTTTTGTGAGTAAAAAAGTAGCTCTACTGCATAACAGCATTGCTCCAGGCTCTGGTTCTCAGCTGAGGTGCACATTAGAATCACCCCGATGACTTTTAAAGACCCTGATGTCCAGGCCCCACCCAGAACCATCAGTGAATCAGAATGCATGCCACACACTTTGGTTGGGTGGGTGTTGAGGGGGAAGATGTCAGTATTGTTTCTTAAATGTTATATAGAATGTATCTACAGCTGCTTCACAGCAACATACATTGCTAAACTTCCAACTGTAGTAAAAAGAAGCCAATCTGCTACTGCTTTGATAGTTACAACAATATACTACATAAGAACACTAGAAGGAGAATTGTACTGAATGATTTTACTATATTTATTATGATTACATATTTTCACTTTAGAAAAAAACCTGAGCTCCTTTGGTGGGATGACTTGACCAGAGTTAAGATCTGATATTGGAAGGCTGTAAGGAGGGAAAGCCAGGGCAAGTGCACCACTATCCGATCCAAGGGCTGTTCTTACTTTCAAAGCAAGAAGGATCAAGTAAGTAAGAGACTGACAATGAGAGTATTTTATCACTTAGTAATATTTAGTGTTCTTAAACTATTATACTTGATTTTTTAAAAATGTTTTGGTTCATATCCAAAGATGGCAGCACTTTTGCCAGGCTTGTGGGTTTGATGTTAATGGTGACTAGGGTTATCCGTCATCTTCCTGACTCCAGCTAAACAGCTAAGAGTTATAAAGGTAACAGCAGTCTTTAAAGAATCTTTAAACCACCTTTAAAATTCTAATTTCATTTTCCAGTACAGGATAATCCACTTCAGATAAAATCTAACCTTAATATAATCTGTTGAAAGACAAAAGCTGGTGAGAGACACCTGTAGCTAGATGCAGCTGATGAGTGGGTATATTTTAACCTTTTAGGTAGAATAGTTATTTCAGCACTTATAATTAGAGTTGCAACCTAGCTCCCCTTTTAATAGAAGACCTGTTAACACAATGAGAAAAAATATGGCATCTAGAGAGGGCATGCATTAGGCAGGATCAACAAGAAACTTTCTTCTTCTACCTCAAGTTCAGCTCCTGGTATTTTAACTGTCCATTCATCTGTACCCAGTGAGTCTCCACATAGCAGAATACCAATACCTAGCTCCGCCCAAGCCAACTGAACATACTAGGGGCTAAGTCTCATGAATAGTAATTTTAAAAAGCTCTCCAATTGATACTAATATGAAGACAGAATTAAAAAAGAAAACATGGATTTCAACTTATCAGATAATATGGACTCTTAATATCTAAAGTCCCACCCAAAATGAAACTTCCTTCTACAGCATTTCTAATAGATAATCCTTTACCTAAATAAAGCCAATAGAAGAAATGTGAGCAGCCTTCCTGAAACACCAGGTCTGTGACCACAGCACCTTATAATTAAAGCGCCTATTGCTGTTGAGTGGAGGCCTGTTGCTTTACCACCACTTCCCAGCATTCTGCTCCCTGAAGTTGCCCAACCTGTAGCTGCCCTGCCCCTTAGGGCCACAAGGCCAACTAAGCCAGTGAATGGCCTCTTAGGACAAGGGCCATTACAACTTGTTTTTGAAACCCCAGCACTTAATAAAACAGGGCTAAGCATACAGTAGGTGCCAATACATACGTCAAGGTGTGTGTGTGCATGTGTGTATAAAAGATGATCATCATTATCACTGATGCTCCAGACATCCATCAATTTGTATAACTTTTAGCACACACAATTTAAAATGATCACTATTCTACACACTGGGTCCACAGAAGTGAATGGAACAAACACATCCCCTCAACTTGAAGAGTTCATAATCTAATGGAAGAAACTTTCCTGAGCTTTTAGGTATGAGGCTCTCACTTCTCACAACAAAGACACTTTTTCATTATTTTACTCTTTCACAGAAAATTGAAACATGCTGACATGACTCACCCAAGGTGTCACAGCTAAGCAATAGTAGAGTTAAAACCTGATTCCATCTAACCTCAATTCTAGTGAGCCACAATGTGCCCTACTGTACCACAGCCACCAGTAAGAAAGGTACCACTACAGCATTGTGCAGAACCAGTGGTTCTTAAAGGAAAGTAGCCCAAAATAAGTTTGTAACTGCTACCTTGGCAACTGCTACCAGACAAGGCTGAGGGCCAAACTTTAGAAGGATTATACAATCACTCAATCTCCAGTACATCACAGTCTCCACTATTCCCTAATGTCTTGTGCTTCTTACAAGTTTAAATATCAAAAGAAGTCATTATTCTTGGCCCACTTTATTCATTTACATTACTGCCTGATTAGTGTAGACTTTTGGGTATTCAACTCTACAACTGGCACAACTGGCTAAAATTCCCCAGAAACACTCTGACATTGGGCTCAAGTGTTACTTTACATTTGAAACAGTTCATTACTAAAAGTCACAAACATTGATTAGAATACCATCATTAAATATGAATGCCTTTTGATGTGGCTCTTGAAAATAGAAAGGCCGTCTGTTTCCAGTTTCTAGATGATACATGGTCCTGTCTGCCTTGCTCTGTTTCTTTTAAATGGACGTGGCTCAAATGAACATGGTAGAGGAGCTTCATGTACAATGTGACCACAAGCACTGGCACTCCCTTCCCAGAAAACATCCAAACCACATGTCTGCTTCAAGGCTACTCACTTCAAGCTAATGGCCCTGAGTCCTGCCTTCATCAGGCTCTCTATTGTGGCTATGCAGCTTTATAGAGCCAAGTCCTTCCTTCCCTCACCCATCCCACATGCCACCTTAGTCATACCAATGGCTGAGCAATCTTTTAACCTCTAAGACATGATTTCTGGCTTCCACACTCTACCTCTATATCTCACTGTCAGTGGTTAGAGACACCTGACGTGTTGTAGCACTTGGGCTATTTGAACTCATCAGCCTAGACTGCCCCAGCCAGTCTCCCACCACCAGAGAAAGGGAGAATGCTCCTACCTTCATGGTTTACTGGTAAAGGACGAAACTGCTTATCCAACACAACCAGAGAACACGTGGCATCAAACCCAAGTCCTCTAATTCGGCTTAAATCCATCCCTTGTACGACTTTCTGTTTTAAAAATAAAACAAACAAAAACATAAATTACATAAAACAAAAAAACCCATAAATTACAACACCAGGCTTTTAAAAGCTTGAAGGCAAGTTGTGACTAAAGGAAATGAATAACAGAATAGAAAAAAAAATCTGCAACATAAGTCAGATAAAAGATTAGTACCACCAAAATACCAACGGAATCTTTAAATTAAAGAGAGACAACCAATCTAATTGGAAATTAAGCAAAAGGCATGAAAAGTCAGTTAATAAAATAAAAAGAAATGAAACAGCATATGGAAAGATATCCATTTCACTACAGTTGAATCAATGTACACCAATTTTTGCTTTTTATATTGGTAAAAATGTTAAAAACTAATAGTATGTAGTAATGGCAAGCAGTGGGAAAGTACACCTTCTTGAACATTATTCTAACAATGTAATTACTAAGTACAATTTTTGGAAAATAATTTGATAGTACCTATTAAAATTAAAAATATACATACCTTTTGACCCAGCAATCACACTTCCTGGAACTTGCCTTAGAAAATTATTACCATTTAAATAAGTAAAGTTATATATAGACGAAGGTTAGATGCAGCATTTCTAATAATATATTTAAATTCTCCAAAAATATTTTACTAAATAAATTATGGCATATCTATAAGATGAAACACTATATAGAAGTTAAAAACAAAATGGTAGTAGAACAACTTCAAGGTATGGTAACATGAAGAGTTTAGCAAATCCTCTTAGCAAAATAAAAGTATAAAACTGACAGAATCATCAGAAACAACTATTTTGGTGGGCTATGGAAACTGATCAAAGCCACATGACAAACTGTAAAGCACTGTTCTTGAAAAACCAAATTTATACATAAAAAATTCAAAACCAACAAACAAAAACCTAACTCCAAGACCAGATGGTTTCTCTGAGGAATTTTTCAAACATTTGAGGGAAGAAATAGTACCAAGCCTGTACAAACTTATTTAGAATATACTGAAGGAGGAACCACTTTCCAGCAAATTTTACATGGTCAGCATTACCCTGATAGCAAAGGCAAAGACAACATTTACAAAAGAATACTGCACACCAATATCTGTTATGTACATAGGTATAAAAATGCTTAACAGAACATTAACCAACCAAGTTGTGCAATGTGTAAAATGTGCATTATGTACCATGGCCACATGGGATTATCCCAGAATTGCAAGGGTAGTTTAATATCCACAAATCAATTAGTGTAATACATGTATTCACAGAGTAAAGAACAAATGCCAAATGATCATCTCAAAAGATGCAGAAACCCCCCCTCCAAAAAATGTATAAATCAGAAACAAAATCAGATACAGAGCATCTTTAAAAACCCATAGTTAACAACATATGTGATGGTGAAATGAGTGATTTCCCCTTATCAGAAACAAAGCAAGGATATTCAATTTTATCATATCCATCCCACCTGTGCTACATAAAGGTGATGGCCAGTATAACTGGATTTTTGAGGAATGTTGGAATTAGTTAAGATTTTAGAACTCTTGGGAATGATTATATTTTGCATTGTGAAAAGGACATTAACCTTGGAGTTAGGGGTGGAGTGCTATGGTTTGGATATGATCTCCAGTGTGGTGATGTGAGAGGTAGAGGAACCTTTTAACAGGTGGAGACTAGTGGGAGACCACTGGGGACACTGCTCTTATAAGGAATTGATGTACTTTTTTATGGGGCTCTGCAGTTTTCTCAAGAGGGTTGTTATAAAGAGAGCAAGTTCTTGCCATGTGATCTCACCCCACCATGCACGCTCTCACCACTGTGATGCCATCTGCCGTGAAGCCTTCGCCAGAGTCAAGTGGAAGGTGGCACGGTGTCCTCGAACCTCCATGTTCTTGAGCTACATAAGCCCCTTTTGTTGATGCATCAGCCAGCCTCAGGCATTTTGTTAGTGGGAAAAAAACTAATATACTCCAAAACTGGAATCAAACCAAATGCCCATCACAGTTTTACCAAATGTCAAATACAGTGTCATATATCCATATAATGCAATACTACTTAGCAAGAAAAAGCAGGAACTAAGGATATGGGGAACAACATGGATGAACCCAGAAAAAAATGATAAACAAAAGGAGCCAGATGTTAAAGCATGTTTAATGATTTCGTTTACGTAATGTTCAGTATATATACTCCTCAAAAAAGAGTTTTTATAAAGACAGAAAGCAGACAGTTACCTGTGACTAAGGCTGAGGACTGACTATAAACAGGCATGAAAGAACTTTTTTGGAATGATAAAATTGTTTTAAAATTGGATTATGATGATGATTGCACAACTATGTAATTTTACTAAAACAACTAAATTATACATTTAGAATGGATGAATTTTATGGTATTTTATGGTAATACCTCAAGCTGTCAAACATTTTTTAAAAAGTCAAGCTATACAAGATGAAATGGATGTTTATGATATATGAATAAGGTTTAAAAAAGAATATACAATAATTAGTGGTGGTTGATTCTAAGGGCATAACTACAGTTGGAGAAGAGATTTTTCACTTCTTTGTGTAATTTTTTAAATTGTTAGAATAATAGATTTATTGACTCTTTTTATTTTTGTCTCTATGGGTTCCTTTTTTGAAAAAGCATGAGTGGCCATAATCTTTAACATTTTCCATTAACTTAAAACAAGACAATTACCTTTCAATCCCACAAAAATCAACCCCAAAGTGAACCATCACCATTAGTGAAATTCATCTTTTTCCTTTTGGAATACCAGACTTGCAGTTTAGGAATCCATTTCTTATACTTAATGTGCTCCTCAAATAAGAGCTATACACAATTATTAGAGAAATCATTTTATCAAATAATATTAATAAATACTAAAATGCTATCATGCATTGAGTATCTACTATGTGCCACGTTTCATGGCTCATTTTTAATATTCACAAAGTTCTTTTCTTTTCTAAATGTTATAAAAGAAACATTTAATATTTGTACTTCATAAAAGATAAGAGGATAATTGGGAAGAGTGAGCACACAGTCATGAGAGGCAGAATTCAAACTCAGAGTTGTGTTCTTTTTGGCCACAGCTCATCTCTGCTTTCAGAGAATTTACTGTTGCACAAGAGATTCATCTATGGAAAGGGCCTATGCTCTAGGGAGTCAGATTTGCTAGTGACCTACCTGTGACTGCTAGCAATACCTTTGTCCCATAGCACCAAGTCCATTCCTTGTCAGGCAGCATGGCTTCATGACAATGAATCATGAAGGTCTGGATTCAAATTGAAGCTCTGCCAACCTGGTGTTGAGACGGAGGGCAGAGTACAGTTTACAGTTCTAGCCATCCCAGCTGCTCTCTTGCCTTGTGGGGTCACAACTCAACAGCATTTACAGGCATGGCTTACTTTCCCTGGAATATCTTTCCAACTTGGAAATCACTGGATGGTGGTTATGATGAATGGTTCTGGGGGCAGACTGGCTAAGTTTAAAACCTGGGTCTGCCACTTACTAGTTATATGACTTTAGGAAGTTGGATAATCAGTTTCCTTGGTCACTCAAAGCTATTGCTTATACTTGCATCTCCAATGCTGTTACGAGAATTCCGCAAAATAAGATGAGGTTAGCTCAATGCTCAGCATTCAGTGCACAATAAACAGTAGCTCTTACTGGTAAATTAGTTGCCTCAAATCTTCTTTGAACACGTGGGATAATCAAACCATTCAGGCAGCCCTCACTTCCACTTTCTATGTTGACTCAAATGGCCTCTGTGCCCAGAGAGTGCATAACTGCACACAGGCTTGCAGTCAGTCAAAACAGCAACTGAGTGAGAAAACGTAGATGACACAATAAAACTCCATACCACAGACAGTTCATGAGTGAAAAGCACATGGAATAGAAAGCAAGTGTCACTTGCTGATCCAAACTCCACACTTCTGCACTAATCTCATTGTCATTCTGAGCCTCAGTTTTCTGAAGTTAAGTGATACTGCTGAAGTGAGCATGACAGGATTTAAGGGGTTTAAAAGAACTGAAGAACTAGTACACCTTTTTAGGAAATGTAAAGGATGGGAAACCCACTCAGTGTCTTATTGTTTTCATGGGATTTTTTTTTTATGGTGATTTTTTTTATTGTTTTATTATTCATATGTGCATGCAAGGCTTGGGTCATTTCTCCCCCTGCCCCCAACCCCCCAACCACCCACTCCTCCCCCTCCCTCTCTCCCCCACCCCTCAATACCCAGCAGAAACTATTTTACCCTTATCTCTAATTTTGTTGAAGAGAGAGTATAAGCAATAATAAGAAGGAACAAGGGTTTTTGCTGGTTGAGATAAGGATAGCTATACAGGGAGT